AGGCTTCAAATTCCTGTAAGAAGGAAGGAATTCTTTTCCCTTCAAAGTGACACAAGAGGGGTTGATGCTGTTGACTTATGTTATGGATTTTCTTTTTCTTCCTTTTTTAGTTCTAGGAAAAAAAAAAAACAACAAAAAACAAAACAAAAAAAACCCAACCCAATTACTACTTTAGACAGCAGACAGCCTCCTCAGTACCTTCCTTTAAGACTGATAAGAAAGACCTGGCAGTTTTGAAGGGCTGGTTAGACAGTCTACCCTCGGGAAGAATGTTATCACTTTGTTCTTTGTATCCTGTGTAATTAAGGTCCACCCCTCCACCCCATACTCAAGTTGGAGATTATTTTTCTACTTCCTGAGCAAGTCTTCACATAATTCACTCGCAGCAGTGAAAAAGCTTTTATTCCTTGACAACTGGAATCAGGCTGACAACAGAATGACCCTACATAGAAAGTCTTCCTATCTGGGTTTTGTCACTGGTGAGGGCAGGATGCGGTTCAGGTGACAGGATGGATGGTCCACAGAGACCCAATGGTGAGAACTTACTACAGTCCTGGGCAACCATTGCTGTGCAGGGACACTGGGTTGGGGTTTGGGGGTCCCCGGGGGCTGCCTCTCAAAGGTCCCTTCTGGGCATTCTTGGGAGAGATTTTGTTTTGGGATGTAGGACAGGAAATGCTGAACTTGAGAAAGACGTCAGAAAGAGAGGTAGTGAAGATGAAAGGATCTGGGGATAAAGAGTTCAGTTAGACAGCACTGTAGACAGGAAGAAAGGGGGCGATGGAGAGCATCTGCCAGCTGTCCTGGGTGCAGAGCGTGTTCAGAGCCGAGGGTGGGCAGAGAGCGTGAGAACTCGGCCCAGCCCAAACCGGCTGTGGAGGACGCAGGATGTGCGATGTCGCCTGCAGGACTGCACCTGGAGCCAGAGGGAACATTTCAGATCCCCAGTGACTGGGGAGATGGAAAGAAAAGCAGGCCAGTTTTGGAATGGAAAATAAAAGCAGCGTCATCAGGAACAACATGGCTTCCCCATGGAGACTGAACACAGACCCTGACCTGGCATTCGGCAGCACTCTGCTCTGCCCTCTACCTTCCTGCTGACCAGGATCCAGCAGCCGTCCCTGCCCCTTGGTGCCTAAAATCAGCAAGCTACACACCGGACTGTCCCCTTCCTGCTTCAGTGTCAAAGTCCTAACTCCCAACATGCCATTGTTTGGAGCTGGGGCTTTAAGGAGGAAGTAGGTTTAGATATGATCAGAAAGATGGAGCACCCACGTTGGAATTAGTTCCTAATAAGGAGAGAGCAGAGAGCATGCGTTCTTGGCTGCCCGTGTTAGGAGGTGGACAGAAGCTCACTATTTGTAAATCAGGAAGAAAGCCCACCCCAGGGACAGAGTTGGATGCTACCTTGATTTTGGACTTCCAGGGAGGGCAAGAAATAAATATCTGTTCTTTTCAGTTGCCCTGTCTATGGTAATGTGTTCTACTGGCCATGCTGCAACACAGCAGTTGTCTGCCAGAGTTCTGCTCCACTCCAGGTTAACGCAGATGCCACCGTCTCCCAGACATGTCCCTATAGTCCACTCAGACCATATATATAGTGATACACACACACACACACACACACCAATGTTAACATTAATATACAACAGTTCTCCATCAAAGAACTGACAGACTATTCTTGGCTACATAGTAAGTTTGAGGCTAGCATGGGATAAGAGACCCTGTCTTAAAAACAAACAAACAAACAAAGAAACAAACATAGAGCAACAACCACAAACCCCCCAAATCCACCACTATCAGCAAAAAGGGCTGGGGCAGTTCAGTTGGCAAAGTGCTTGCCAAGCCTCGGTGAAGCCCTGGGTTTAAGCCCCAGTGCCGAGTTAAGCGGGCATGGAGGGGCACATCCATAATCGCGGCAACTGAAGAGGTGGAGGCAGGAGTTCGGAGACAGCTCAGTGGGTATGAAGCACCTTGCCAGACAAGTCAGCTCCCTGGAACCCAGGGGAGTGGAACGAGAGACTAGTCCATTGCTAATTATTCTCTGACCGAAACATGTGTGCGACTCCAATTACGGCCCCTCACGTGCAAATCACAGCCACACAATAATAACCGGGAAAATCGTTTATAAAGAATGAATATTGGCAGTTATGTGTCTGTCTGTCACACCGAACACTCCCCCAACTGTCCATCTTACCACCTGCACCAATCCTGACTAAGCCAGGAGCAGCCTTCCGGTGGTTCCTGTGGCATGACAGATGCAGGGTAGTTCCCGGGTCTGTACTCTCCCATGGGCCATGTCTGAGGCCTGCTGAGTCCTCTCTGACCTCTACAAGTCCCTGGGACTTGCTAACAACACTAAGGCTTTGACTAGGATGTCCACATACTTGTCAGCAGATTATGACCCCAAAGGTCAGAGATGAATGCTCAGTGGTTGCTCTCAAGCAAGATGCATGGCGCGCATGGCTGCCCCGTAAGTGACTGCCGACCTCAGACAGAGGTGGCCACCCAAAGGACTGAGGAAGAAAGACATCTCCAAAAAACATGGGGCCAAACAACGGGAGAGCGGGTAGAACGCTGAGTCAGACAGAAAGTCATATGGTGTAGCAATGGACAACTAAAAGGGCTTCTTCTTCAGTGCTGTGTCCCGCTGATTTCCCTGAACAGGAAAGTCTCCCTAGAGCTGCAGGAAGGCTGGGGGGGGCCGAGGCTTGGCAGAAGCTCAAGCCACTGAGAAACCCTCAGGAGGACCTGAGGCTCCCATGCGAGGCTCCCAGGCGGCACAGGACAGCAACGGCACGCGTCTGCACTGAGCTCCCATGTCTGTGAGGGAGTTTCCAGAATGGGCTGACAGGCGGGATTACCTATGCTGAATGTGGGCGTTACCACTCCATGGGCTGGGCTCCCGACAGTGGGGACTGCCTCACATTTCCTGCCTTTCCTCCATGTCGGGCTGTACCCCCCTCACTGTGAGCCCACATGAGTCCTTCTTTCCTCTAGTCCCCCTCCTTGGTCACATGGCCACAGCAACAAGAAAGGTAGAGGCAGGAGGATCTCTGTTCGAGGGCAGCCTGGTTTACAGAGTGAGTTCCAGGCCACCCAGAGCTATATAGGGAGACCCTGTCTCAAAACAAAACAAAACAAAACAAAACCCCAAAACACAAAGAGATAAACCCCCCAAAAAACTATTATGTCCATATGTCACATAGGGTCAAGTCAAGGTGATTTAATTCTAAGGCTCCAGGCAAATAACTGTCTTTGTGCAATTTTTCTGTTTGTTTTAGGTATGGGGGGATCTGCTTTTCATGATAGGGTTTCACTGTGTAGCCCTGGCTGGCCTCAGACTCACAGAGATCCACCTGCCTGTGCCTCCCACGTGCTGGGATTGAGGGTTTGTGCCACCATGCCTAACTCCGTGTGCGGTTCTAAAGGTTAACAGCTTTCTTTGTCTGCGTCACCAGTGATGAGTTCACCTCATGTGAAGAGGCCCGATCTTTGAGAGAGGGAAGGAGGAAACCACTAAAGACCCACTCCCTGGACCGCGCCTTGGTCAACACGATCGCCACTATTCCTTCACGGGGCAGTGAGAGCGCGCCACCACCGAAAAACAAGGAACTGGAGATGTATCCAGAGGCCGTTCGGAGGCAGGGGAGGCGGGGTGCAACCAATTCCTAAGCCTAACTTCTTTACGTCTGTGCACACGTGGCGGCATGTCTGTGTTTGGGTTCGTATGCGTATGCGTGGGCAGGTCAAAGGTTGATATTAGGTGTCATCCCTGTTGCTCCCTACCTTGTTGTTTTGAGTCTCTCACTGAACGGGAAGCTCGCTGATTCAGTCAGGCCGGATAGCCAATGGGTGTTGCCGCCACCCCCCAAAACACTGGGGTTATTATACATGTACACGGCCATGCTGAGCTTCTAACTGGGGCTGGGATCTGAACTCAGGGCCCCAGGCTTTCCAGACATGCCCTTTGCTACCTGAGCCCTCTCCCTAGACCCCCCCGAAGTCCGTCCCTTGCCGATCACCAATTTACAGAGAAAGAGGCTGGAGAGATGGCTCAGCAGCTGCGCCATTCTTGAAAGACCCAAATTTGGTTCCCAGCATCCTACTGGGCGGCTCACAACTGCCTGTAACTCCAGCTCCAGGGGACCTGGCAACGATCAATGATTGATGTGGGAAAGCCCAGGCCACCGTGGGCAGTGCCACCTCAGGGCATGTGGTCCTGTGGTGTCTCAGAAAGAAGACTGAGTGAGTCAAGAGCAGCAAGCCAGCAAGAAGTACTCTTCCAAGGCCTCTACATTAATTTCTGCTTCCAGGTTCCTTTGTGATGGACTGTGACTGGGGACGCTTAAGCCAAAGAAACCCTTTCTGCCCCCGAGCTGCCTTTGGTCAGTGTTTTAGCCCAGCAACAGGAAGCCATTAGTAAGGCAGTCAGTCTGTCTCTTAGGACAGGAAACAGCTCAATTAGTTGGTTCATCAAGCCACAGAGAGAGAGAGAGCGAGAGAGAGAGAGAGAGAGAGAGAGAGAGAGAGAGGGAGGGAGAGGGAGGGAGAGGGAGACCATGAGCAGGTGGGCACTCTGAGGCAAGAGCGCACTCTGGCACTAGCAGATCATTTGTATATGCATCTCCCATCTATAAGCGCCTCCCCCACCCATTCTATAGTGTCTTTACTAACACATTTCCAGACACTCTTTTACTATAGTGAACTCTCACCACTAAAGCAGTCAGGCTATGTAAGAACTGCAAAGTTAATTATGTAAAGTGACTCTTAAGGCACTTTGAATTACATTAATATTCTTGAAAATAAAATGAGAACACTTAACTTACTGAAATATATATATATATATGTAAAATTACATAATAGCCTAATTTAAATATTTCTTATTCTGAATTATTCCTCTTCTGTTTTTTTTAAAAAAAGATAAGACAAATATGAAGAAGATTTCAATTAATCCACAGATCTGAGGCAGAATATTTTTGAAAACCAAATGAACTTACTGTGTATTCTGATTCCAGACGTCCAGATGACGAAGAGGGAAAAGAAAAAGAGAGAAAAAAAAATGAGACCAGTTCTACAGAACACAAACCACACAACTGTTACTGACAACTTATAATTATTAAAAATGAGCTAAAGAAACCTTCCAGAAGTTAGGTTTCTGTAACTAGTGAATGTTTCTATGTTTCGTGGTATTCCTGCGGTTGGCCATTCCAGGTCAGTTAGATAAGATTCAATTAACCTATAGGTTTGTGGCTAATTAAAAACCCAAGTGTTGGCACTGTAAAAGCAGAATGAAAGGCTAATAATTCCAGCAGAACATTTCATTAACCGCAAAGGAAATCTTTTCAGTGGAAAAAGCAGCTTCTTCTCTTTTCCTTTCCTTTTTTTTTTTTTTTTTTTAATTACAGAGAGCTTGCAAGGAAGCTGAACTGGAATCCTGAGACTCCCTGTGTCTGAGGGCTGGGATACACCCTTCAGAAACTGGGGCAGGGGTCTCATGCCTCAGAAGGTTTTCAGAACCGAGCGTGTCATAAAGAAGAGCTATTAAAGATATCCATATCTTCTGAGAGGAGAGAGAACTCAAAGTAAAATACAGAAAAACCCAAACAACTTGTGTGTGGCCAAACTATGGGGGGAATCTGATGAGAAGACCTCCAGACGGCCCTGTGGGGACAGCCTGCCCTCACTCAGTGAAACTCCACCGCTGCCCCAGCCTGGACTCGCTGACCCGCCCTGAGGACTTACCTACCTGTGATTGTGTACGGGTAATAATTCCACGCCTTCTCGGTCACATAAAATATTTTGGGAACAACAGCTCTAGCCCAGCTAGGCAGTTTGCTGAAAGAAAAAAAAAAAAAAAAGGATGGAAAAGAAAAGAAAAAAGTTAGTGAGAGTCTGACTGGGCTTTACTTCAACTGCTTGGAGACAATGGAGCGCTATTTCTGATATTCTTCGGGCTCTCTTTCCTCCACTCATCCACTCCCTATCTCTGCAGTACTTACCAGAGTCATGAATTTTCCTGGACATACTTGTGTTCCCTCAAAATATATAAAGGCAGAAGGCAACAGGCAGCTGGGCTCAGTGGCAGCAGGTTTCTAGGGCTGTAATCTCTCTCTCTCTCAATATCCTTTATGTGCCTGAGGATTTTGCATGCATGTGGACCATGTGTGCGTCTGGTGCTTGAGAAACCCACATGAGGGCAGCAGATGCCCTGGAACTGGAGGTATGGACAGTTCTGAGGCATCATGCAGATTCTTGGAATTGAACCCAGGTCCTATGGAGGAGCAGCCTGTGCTCTTAACCACAGAGCCATCTCTTCAGTCCCTTTACAGAAGCTCAAATTATGTTCCCTTTGATCTAAGGTGAGTCCTAATCCTAGTGATTGGTGGGGATTTGGGACTCGAAGTCACATGAGAAAGTCATGTGACTATGGCAGCAGAAAACAGAATGCTACAGCTGTAGGCCAACAAAGTTTGTCAAGGATTGCAGCAGACAGCTAGAAGTTCCGAGAGAAGCACACAGCACATTTCCGAGTAGATCTCCCAAAGGAACCATTTCTGATACTTTGATTTTGGACTTCTGGCCCCCATATCTGAGAGATGATAAATGCTTTCATTGTAAGCCACCCAGTGTGTGGAAATTTATTATGTGAGTCCTAAGAAAGTTAAGTCTTCTGGAGCAAGGCGATGGGCAAACACTTGCAGAAAAGAAATTCTCCAAAGGCAAAGGTTTGATGGTCATTTGCAGCCAAACACTAACCAGGTGTGGGTTTTCCTTCAGAGATAAATGTGGCGAAGAGTGAAGGAGCATAGCTTTCTTTATCTATCCCCTGTAACAGATAAAGAATATATGGCTACTAGTTCTCAAAGTATATTTTATATGACTTAAATCTCTTTCTCTCTTTCTCTTTCTCTCTTCCTTTCTCTCTCTGTGTACCTCTGTGATATAGGTGGGTACCTATGGAGGCCAGAAGAGGGCACCGGATCCCATGAGCCTAGAGTTCCATGAGAAGGCTGATTTGAATGCTAGGAACCAAACTCTGGTCCCCTGGAAGAGCAGCAAGCATTCTTAACCAAAGAAGTTTCTCTTCAGCCTGTCATCATGATTTTATTTCTCCCAGCACTAACCAGGTAGCTTAGCCTAGGATGCTAATGTCTGCCCCTTTTTTATGGGATCAGACCCAAAGAAATAAATGATGAACCATCAGCTTCTTAGGCCTGTGTTGAGGATATAATCATGGTTTGTTGTTTTGGTCCCAGGTGTGGGATGTGGGACTGATTCAGATGGTCCACAGCAGCAGACTATTTGCCTCATGTGGACTCTGAGAGGGGCTCTTTGCCAGCTGCAGATAGTTTAAATCTGAGGAGTCTGCAGAGAGAATAAATGCCAGAGCCCAGAGAGTGTGGAGGCTCCAAGAAAGAACAAGGCTGCTCCTGTTTCCTCTTTGCTGCTCCCTGGTTGCTGCTGTGAGACAGTTGGAGATCTCCTGAAACAAGGATTGGAGTGGCTCCAAGGAACCTAACCAGCAGGAGGCAGCTAAGAGAACTGTGCCCCCTCTCCACTAACCCTTTCTCTCTCCTACCTGGTGTTGGGGTGCTGGAAGGGATTGGGGTGGAGTAGGGAGAAAAAGATAAAAGAAATGTAAATAAAAGTTTTTATTTTGTTAAAGTACCATAACAGGCCTGCGTGTTAGCGAAGTATATCAAGAAGCAGTTTTAAGGGACTGGGGGAGAGGTCAGCCAGTTTACTGTCAGACACAGAAGCACGAGGACCTGAGTTCCGCCCAGCACCCCTGTGAAAAAGGGAAGTGCATGCTTGAAATCCCAGCTCTGGTGAGGCAGAGGCCAGCAGATCCTCAGGCTGGGCTGGCCTGCCAGTCTAGCCTAATTGGCAAGATCCAGGCTGAGAGGCCCTGTCTCCAAACCCAAGGTGGAAAGCTCCTAAGGAATGATATTTGAGATTGGCACACACACATGCACACCAAGCTGCTATGACTAAGAAATGAAATTTTCAAGCTAACAGTACCTCATGAGGGTGGTTAATCTGCCTTACCAACCTGACTGGATTCAGTCTCCTAGGGGATATATCTTTGTGTGTGTGTGTGTGTGTGTGTCTGTATGTGTGTGGTATTTCTGAAGAGGCTTAGCTGAGGAGTGTAGATCCCCCTTAATGTACACCATCCATGGGCTGGGCCCAGGACTGAGGAGAAAGGAGTCGGCAAGCAGCAGCATTCATATCTCTCTGCTAACGGTTGACATCATGTGGCCCCCTGCGGCCCACTCCTGCTGCCCCGCAAACTGTGACCCAGAGCAAACCCTTTCTTCCTTAAATCACGTGTCACGGTAACAAGAGAAGCGACTAATACAAGCCCTCAATAGTCCTCTTCTCTAATACAGAACACAGGTGACAAGGAGAGGCAGTAAACCACCGCATAGCTGGAATGTCTTCTCGGCTGCTGCTCTCGGTGTTTGAGAGCAGTCAGGCCTAACTTTCGAAAAAGGCAAATTTTCTTTTTCTTTTTTTTTTTGGAGGGGGGGGGTTCAAGACAGGGTTTCTCTTTGTAGCCCTGGCTGTCCTGGACTCCCTTCATAGACCAGGCTGGCCTTGAACTCAAAGATGCACCTGCCTCTGTCTCCCCGAGTGCTGGGATTACAGGTCAGACCTCACTCGAAGTTCTGGGCTGTTTATTAGGGTCCAAACAAGTGAGGGTTTAAAGCAACAGCAATAAAAGAACAAAAACAACAAAAACTCTAAGCTCCCCCCAAAACTGGTTGAGCAGCCATGGTGGGCTTTGCTCTAAGGCAGGCTGTGAGGAGGGAGCAGGAGATGTCTTAAGATTCAGTTGTCATGCCTGAGGTCTGCTCTAACTCAGGATTTCTCACTCCTATAAAACCGCCCCTGCAGAGGCTGCTCATTTACCTTGTATTCACACTTCTCAAAGGACGGCTGCTCCCGGACAGGGGCTTTTTATAGTTTTTGCTGATGACTGAGTCCATCAGACGCTGACGCTGGAGTGCAACTGAGGTTGATGCGGGACAGGGAAATCCCACTGGCTTGCCTGCCACCAATCACACGAGCCAGACTTCCTCTCAGCTCCTTCCTTGTCTGTGCCCAGAGCACTGTGCCAACGGACAGTGGGGGCAGATTGGGATTCTAGCTATGGGAAGAATCTTCTGGTAAGTTTTAAAAAAATATTCTCATAGACTAGGATATATATCTATATATCCTCATAAATTCACTGTCTAGTCCAAGATGATTTCCCTACCTCCACCTCTGCAGTGCTAAGGTTGCAAGTGTGTACCCCCATGCCTGGTTTATGTATCACTGGGATCAAACCCAGGGCTTTGAGCATACTAGGCATTCGACCATCTGAACTACATCCTTGGAGCAAAGAACTATTGAGTTTAGGCAAAGTAAGTTCATTTCCCTTCGGCGCTGGGGCCCGCTCTCCACCGTTCCTCTGCAGGGGACTGCTCCATACTCACTCCACATCTCCCCTGACCTACCCTGGGACAGTCCAGTAACTCACCCCTTGCAGCATGTTAGAACCCTTTTAGCAGAGCTGTTCTCTTACCTAACCATCATCACCTGGTAAGAAGATAGAGCCATCAGCAAGCTTTCATTCCAGAACTCCAGAGCCTCGAGTTTTAATTTTTGCTGTTCACCTGACAACTCACACGAGCTCTCCTCCAAGGTGAGAAGAAGATCAGGTATAAGTCATTTAGCAGGTTGGAGGCAGGGGGCATGTGGGACAAGCCCTGGGGTATGATTGCTAACGTCTAGATGCTGTGGTTAGTGTTAATTGTCAGCTTGACAGAATCAACCTGGAAACCTGTCTCTGGGCACGCCTTCAGGGGAGTGTCTCAGTGACGTTGGCTGAGGTGGGAAGGCCTGCCCATTGTGGGTGGCACCAATCCCGACCCGGAACCCTGGGCTGTATAAACGGAGAAACTGAGCCAAGCAGCAACTGGCATTCATCATTTCTGCTCCCTGTATTGGATGAGATGTGGCCAGATGCTTCAAGTCCCTGCTGCCTTTGACTCACCAGCCGAGGACTGTATTTTAAACTCTTCCTCAAACTGCTTCTGTCTATTACATCACAGCAAAATGGGAAAAACAAAATAAAACAAAATTAAAACTAAAACAGGTGTTAAAAGTCCCCTGAAGGCCCATGTGATGAAGGCATGGACCTGAGGGTGTTGCTGGCAGGAAAAGTTGAAGTCTTTTGCAAAATGGGTTCAGTGAGAGGAGGCTAGGTCATTAAGGACGAGCCTTTCAGGGCAGGAGAGTAAGGAATCCAGGCCCTCTCTTCCTCTTATAGTTCCTGGACACAAAATGCATTTCCTCTGACATATGCTGCCCCCTCCCCCGCTGGCTCTCGGTACCTCGCCTACCCCCACCATGTTCTGGAACCTCTACCACTGTGAGTCACATAAACCTTTTCTCTTTATAAATTCATCCCCTCAGGTATTTGATTACGGTGACGGCGAGCTGACTAACACAATGCTGTTTAAGTCCCATTAAGCCCACTAACGGACCTTCTTCCAGGCCCCAGCTTCCCCAGAACACATCATTATTTGAATCATTCTGGTCTGAGAAAGCGAAATTTATTTTTCCCTGCAGCAGTGATTTAGCAGGACCCGAAAAGGAAAAAAAAAAATGGAATTAAATTAGTCCTTGTCACTGCTGTCTCTTAAATGACGCACACTGTCACATTGTCCACAACTCTGAGAGAAAGCCTGTCACTCAAAGTCACTACCAGATGGGAAATTAGGGGCTCTTTTCTAGAGCGTCTGAATCAAGTCCTCGGTTCACACGTAGGCCAGGACAGACACTCA